CCTTTGAGCAATTACTTTCCCTTTCACAATATCTGTTGTACCATTTGGGTTTTATTTACCCTTTCAGGTTCTTACACTAGGGAGACAATATGATGTTTACACATGTGGATCTCATTTATTTCACTTATGAGTATTGCATTCTTACATCTAATAATCTGAGCAACTTCGTTGAAGATAACAATATGTAATATAACAACCATTGTTAATTCCTATCATCTTGTTTTGAAATCCTGTATTGTTTCTATTGTTTTTCTGTTGTTTTGTTCTTGTCTTTGTTGTTGTTATTTTATTGTTTTCCTGTTTTTCCTCTTTAAGAGAAAAAAAGTATCAGAGCGTTATTTTTGCAGGGAAATGCCACCAAGTATTGCAGGGAAGAGAGTATTCCAGTTCTATGGGGATATTTTCAGAGCACGTTAAATGATAGAAAGCTTTCATAGTTTTCAAAATACTGAAAGGACTACAACATTGGTACCTAAACCCAATAAAGGCAGAACTCAAGTAAATGTCAGTCTCAATTGTGAATATTGGTGTATAAATTCTAAATAAAATATAAGTGAGTGGAATTCCATAGTGGGTTACAATACTGACACCATAGTATATGCTGAAAAGACAATGAAATTGAGTATTCATTGTTGTAAAAAATTCTTGATAAATTTAGAATGCATCTACAGCAATGTGAAATCAAAATTCATCACATTAAAGATAGGAGCATAAAAGGATGTGGTCTCATCTGTTTTATTACTTTTTTTCCCTGGAGGTGTTGACCAAGAAAATGAACTAAAAGAGAGCTTAGTGGTGTCAAACGGAAAGGAAGGTGTGCAGTTACCACCATTGCCTCTGCCCTGTTTGTTGCATTGTTGTTTTAGGACCTTAGTCCTAGTAGCGCTATTTCTCTTGACAGCCAATTTTTCCTATTGGAGGACGATTAAATCATTATTTTTTTAAAAAAGAGTCTTTTCTTTTACTCTTTTCACAACATACTTTGAAATTTCCAGCTCTTCTTGGTTGTCACTGTCTCTTATTGATTTTCTTTTTTAAGCAACAGAGTTCCCTTACCTCTGCTTTCATGTTTCAAATGAGGAAAAGAGAGTGCATGTGAGTGCTAATTCCAGAATGAGTACTGTTAGTACAGTAGACATTCAGACTCCTGAGAAGTTATTTTCAGTACTTGTTTGATACTTAGCAACCAGGAAAAGGATTACAGCTTTGGTTTATTTGATACAGTTCAGAAGACCATGGCAGTTTTCTAATGCAGTGTCTCTACACATCATTGAGAGATTTAACACAAATGATCTCATTGGACCAGCTACTAAGCTATATTCATACTTTGATTATTGAAGCTTCATTTTAAAAAAAACCTCTATAATATATAATTAAAATTATTGACATCACAATGAGTCCTTGATTGATCAGTATTGCATGTCTCTATCTGTTTTCATGAGAAACCACTTTGAAGATATCAATATGTAATACAAGAAGCATTGTTAATTTCTTACCACTTTGTTTGTAACTCTGTATTGTCTGTACTGTTCTTTTGCTATTTTGTAAAAGGTTGTCTATCTATGTTTTCCTCCTTTTATTTTTAAAATGAAAAAAATTATTGACATTAGATTCCCTTGCTAAAATTAAATTTGTAAGTGAAAGTAATTGTAGCTTTCTCATAAGAACTTATTGCATACCGAAATTATTTGTAATTTAACTGACCTTTTTGATTACAATGTTAATATAGAAAACAAATGCTTATGGACTGATACATCTGTACTGTTTAATAGAACCTAGTGTATAAATATTTTGAAATGTCCTTTCTTCTAAATAGGGTATTTTAAATTCTCTCACGTCATTATTTTATGATTTTTGCTTTTGAATGTTTTTCCATCATAAGAAGTTAATTTAATCAGGTGTCAGACATCTTTATCCTCAATGCCTTTTTTCTCTCAACTTCTTCTCTTTGTATAGCTCAGGGGAGAAAAAGGAAGTACACTATTATTATGTGGTTGAAGCTGCAGCAGAAAATAGTTAAAATAAGTGAGATTTTGCAAGTTTGGTTGTATCTTATATTTAATGATGGGTGCTAGTTTGCTTAATGATGATTAAGCCACCTCTTTGATTATACATCTGCCCAGTACATTCTAAAATGTTGCCACTCAGGAAAATTTGCCAAACTATATCGTAGTGATTTTTTTCTGCGATACAACAATAAATTATAGAGTGTAATATGAAACTGTCATGTTCTCCAACAAGAAAGCTACTACCCATATGCAAAAATGGCATAAAATTAAAAAGTCGGTTCCCCAAGGACTCTAACCATAGTGCAAGGGCCCTGCAGCTGCCTGTGCCCAGTGGCCACCCACCTTGACAACCAGCTGTAGAACACTGCAGAGAGTTTCACTTTGCAGCCTTTGGTGATGTCTATAAGTGTTAGCTGTTTGTTTTAAAAATTGTTTTCTTCCTTTGGTATTATAAATACTAATAAAGACTAGAATTTCTGTATTTTTAGAAACAGTGAATAGCTCAGAATTAGTTAGAATAAATCTTTATACTTTTCTGCCAATTTAATTTTTAAGATTATGTAGTGAAGTAGCACACATATCAACATGCGGTTGACAATATTTTGAAATTCTAGGAAAACATGTAGAACATCTTGAGATAGTACAAAGTGCAGGGGTTGGCAAGGTGAGGGTATGCTATTCACTTACTTGGTCCGGAGCTAGACAAAATGATGAAGGTGAAACTGAAGGTGAAACTTTTTTTTTTTCTTTTTGTACCAAGAATCAAACTCGGGACCTCGCACTGGCCAGGCAGATGTGTGCTACTGAGCCATATCCCTGGCAAAACTGTTTTCAAAAGACATACAGGTATGGTGGTGCTCGCCTGTAATCCCAGCACTCAGGAGGTCGAGGAAGGAGGATCACTGTGTGTTCAAGACCAGCCTGGGTTCCATAGTGAGTTCAGGGACAGCCTGTACTACATAGCAAGACCTTGTCTTAAAAAAAAAAATAAAAAATTCTGATTTAAAAAAGACACTCAGGAGAAGCAAAGTCAGTGGAGAAATAATGTGTTCACTTGTGCCATGTGATTTTAGAATATAATTATGGTATTAATAAAAGTTAATCCAGGAAAAGTTAAAACCACTAGAAAGTAAAGATGAGGAATAGAGATGAAGCGGAACCACCAGTATTCCTCTAGCTGTTGTGAACCGTTATTACTCATTTCATTTTTCTCTTTATACTCTTTGGTTCCCTGCATACGGGCACATTCGTTCAGCAGGGAGGGCTGTCGTGAGGAACTCAGGAGGGATGGTCTTCTGAGAGGCAGGAGAGCTAATTATGAGCTCTGACACTGACCTATGTCCGGGAAGCTTTAAAACCCAGCCTTGACTCTTGCTACCTGTGGGAATGTGGCAAGTTATTTCATTCCCATGTGTCTGCCTATTTGTAAAATGACTCCATCTTACTACTTGCCCCTCTGTGTTCTTGTGGGCTAAGAAATGAAAATATGAAATACATTAAAGACTATAGTGCTCGTATTGCTAACAAATGTTATATAGGTATCCCAGTGCTGATATGTTATAGCAAGGAAGCGTACATTTACACAAGTAATTGCAAAAAGACTGGATGAGTTTTATTACAGGATAAGTGCAGTGTTCTATGAGCTTATATGTTGAAGTGACCTAAGTTTTGATAATTATTTTAACAAAATTTAGCTTTTCGTATGTCTGGGTTTTATTTAAAATAAATCTTTAGTAGTTTCTTAGATCAAATCTTATTCTTTTTATAGTTTGTATTCCTTAAATTTTATTACCTTGATATGATAAATGTTTAAAGATTCCAAAGTAGTAAGTTAAAATTTTGCCCTGATTATCCTGGTAATATCATAACTGTCAAAATTCTTTCCCTGTTGCTTTACATTTCATACCAAGTTGCCAAAAAGGTAATAGAATCTTCTGTTAGCCATAGCATCTGGCTAATCAAAATAAAATCTGTCTTCCAGACTTTTACAGGAAAGTCTGGATAGCTTTGAGTATAATTAAAGAATGCATTATTGGATACCTATTAAAAACAGGAAATTGTGAGGTGTGACTGTTTTTTCATATATAGTGGAGGACAGTTTTCTTCAGCTCTAGGTAAGAAGAGGCTGGAGTGAGTTTTGAAGTACAAGATACTAAGGACACCTACGTAAGAGTGAACTAGATTAAAGTTAAGTACGGACAGTTACAGATTTCTCAAAGTGTCTTTCATTTCTTAACATATACTGTGAGATTTTTTTTTTAAGGTTCTCAATTTGCTTTATACTGCATTCCATTAGATTCTCACCTTTGTGTTTCTTGGGTCATAATGGAAAATGGAATATCAAATTATTTATTTACCATATATCTTGTTTTACAATATGAAAAATGATCTTATTTATCAAAAATAGTTGTGAGAAATATCTGTAGTTATAAGACACCCCTTTGTTTCTTTGCCATTTGACTTTGGTGGGGAGTTAGCAATTGGAACAAAGTGAGTAATGAGTCAGAGGAAGAGGCTCCTGGGAGGTCTTTCTGGACCTGACACCTAGGTGCGTTAGGCACCAGCTTTCTCTCTCGTGGCAGCTGCTATCCACCGACCGGTCAGAATGCAGCTTCCATTTTAGTGCTTCTCTTTATTTTTAGTTCATGTCCTTAGCAAGAATAGAGTACAACTGACCCTTGATGTATTGAAGTGATGTATTTTAGAAATTGCAGATTTCAGAAACCTTACATTGTTATTCAGGGGGAAAAGCAAAGACTGAGTTTTTATGTGTTTTCTGTTTGATGACTATGTTTTTTCCATTTGCTTCCACACTGTAAACATTGGACATAATAATAGATGAATTATACATGTGAACCGACTGTAGGTTTATTTAAACACATGACTTTAGATAAGCTCAGGGGCTCTCGATTCTATTTACAGTTATAAAAATACGTATTTAACTCTATGTTTGCTAACAGGTGAGCTCACATTCCTTTGGTTTTCTCCCAGATTCATGAAAAACTCCACTACTATGAGAAGCAGAGTCCAGTGCCCATTCTGCATGGTGCGGCTGCCCTGGCCGATGATGTAAGTGTGCCTTTCTGAGCTTGAGGGATGTGTCTGCTGCAGACCTGGCTGGGGCCAAACCCATCCCAGTGCAGACAGATGTGTGTGATCCTCTGAAAACCAGAAGAAGTTGCAGATGTTTCCAAAAGTCCTGTCATCACCAAGCTTATGATGATATTATGTTGATTTTCATTCACTTTCCTGTTCTGAAAATTGTGCGTGTAGCTCTGCTCATGTTCTGCCTTGGTAACTACGTAATAGAAATTTTAGGCTTGAGACTCTGTGGAGAGGGAGAAGCTGTCAGGCATTGGTTTTCTGAGAAAGTCACAGACAAGGGGAATGCTTTAGAGAAATAAAGACAAATGAGATAAGTTATATTGCTGACAGTGTCTAAAAAATGACAGGTACTAGGAAAGGAATGAGGCATATGAAATACATAAGAAGACAGGATTGTTTTTAAAATGGATTATAAGGGTTAGTAATGATTTATGGATATTAGACCTTTCCAAATTACCTTCATAACCAAAAAATAAATTTTAGAAGCAGTTGGCATTGATGGAGTAGTTAATTTCCTGTAGCTATAATTTTATTTTCGGCCTGGGGGAGGGGAACTCTCTTGCTGATGCCCACTGTTAACTTTCAGACTTGGATGAATTGAGCACACACCTGGATAAACTGTGAGGGACACTCAGCTAGGCCAGAAGGGCACTTAGTGTGTGGCAGTGAGCGGTACTCTACCCTATAGCTTACTTGTTGCTTTAAATTTTTTTTTGTTTTATTATCATAAAGCAAACTGCAATTCTGTTTAGTAAAGTATCAGGGTCACGCTATATCAAGAGAAAGATTGGCCATCTTCTGGAGTTGGTTTCCTTTGATATATTTTTATTTTCTAATTTAGAAAGTAAAGCATATATAGCAAATATCTAAGTTGTGTGCTGTATTTAGTCCTCAAGCATTTTCCCTTTTCATTTCCCACACATTTATCTACAGACACTGCAAGTATGTTCAATATGTGTGCTTAACTTGGAGGTTTGCTTTTGTACTGTAGAACCAAAACTTTTGAGATGAAGGAGAATAAAGGTATCAATATAGTTGTTCTAGTAAACGGCAGTTACAACTTGAAAAACCCTTAAAAACCAGCTTCAAAACACTATTGAGCATTTTGGGAAACACTTGGTAGAAAACAATATAATTGAACCCTAAGCCTACTATAAAATTGCTGTCTTTAAAGATTAGTATCTGAGGCTGGGGCATGGCTGTGTGATAGAGTTCTTGTCCAGCATGTAGAAGGCTCTGGATTTAATCTTCAGCACTGAAAAAGTAACAACTTTATTAATTAAATGAAAAATTAGAATCTACTCCATAAACAGGGTAAGGTTGTTTTCTAATTCATCAGAGCAATATATTTAAATGTTAAAATATACTGTACATTAAATAGTTTAAAATACAAAGAGCCTTTTGTTCCTTTTTGTAATTTAAAAATTCTGTAAACATATTGTGTTGGAAAAGTAAACGCGGTTTTTGTAGTGCAATTAATGAATCAATCAATTTTCTCTGATTCTACTTCCTATGTGTATTATGAGCTTCTCTTAGAGAAAAGTGCTTTTCCAAAGATAAGAATCATTATTTTCAGCATGGCAGAAACAATAGACGCAAATGGAAATTTTAATAATTGTTTTAAAATTTAAAAATATATTTTGAATTATATACTGTATATTTGAGTCTTGTTTTTTTCTTTAAACTCATATGGCCTTACCTGTAGCCTAAAATTGATGGAAATTTTCACAGGAAGATCTTTTGAAGTTTCATTTTATTTTTAATTGGCAAATGATAAATGTACTTATTTATGAGATGCAGTGTTATATGCTTGTTCGCCACCTCAAACATACATCATTTCTTTGTGGTGAGAACATTGAGAATCTCTTAATGGAGAACACGAGGAAGATTTAAAGTTCCAATTCTTTCTTTAGATAGACAACCAACCAGTGGGAATTTTTGATGATCACAATGGAGTACAGTGAGCAGTTTTAGTTATCAGACTACTATAGGTTTATGATTCACTTGGTTTACATTTAACAGACTTCTTAGTCTGTATAGGTAAACATAATAAAAGTTTCAGGTCATTTACTCTATTAGGAGCATTCAAGTTCTTTTTACCCCAGCTGTAAGCAGCCCGGCTACTGTGGACTTTTGGAAACCCCATGGATTTCACCACCTCATTCAGGACCCCTCCCCCCAGGTCAGAGCTCAATCCAGTTCTTTTTACAAATGGTCCTTTGTCTGCATACAAAGACCCTTCATGCAGATAATGTGCTGGGACTTGCCCTTCTTGCAATAAATCAGAAAGTGATCTGGCTGATATGATTGCTGAAGTTGTACTCAGCTGAGAGCTGGGACTTGAATCTAGTGTACTAAGGGCCTGGAAAGAAGAGCACTGACGGACGGTCTGCTTTCTTTCATGCTGACTTCTTAAACACTGGAAAGTGATAGCCTTGAGCAGAACAGTCTCAGTTATGACGCGCTGAAACCCCACAACGCTCTCACTAAACTTAATGTATGTCAATGTAATCTCCCTTGCAGCTGGCCGAAGAGCTTCAGAACAAGCCATTAAGCAGTGAGATCGGAGAGCTGTTGAAACTACTGTCAAAACCCAATGTGAAGGTGAGGACATGTTACTGCTGCAATAAATACCTTCTAAAAGAACCACTTTCTGAGCTTTCAGATGAATTGTCTCAGGCATCAATTTCCAAGTAAATGTGTTTTCAAAGAGTGAACAATATTTTAATAACCTAAATCCTATTAAAGAAGAAGAATTGAACTTTTAAAATTTATAATGTGACAAACTGCACAGTGCTTTGAGAAGCTCAGAATTTAATTTGGCAAATATAATGTAGCTTCAAGGTTATTTTCCTTTTTTTTTTTTTTTTTGAGACAGGGTTTCCCTATGCAGTTCAGGTTGGCCTTGAACTTAATTTGTAGCCTGGGCTGGACTCAAACTCGCAGCAATCCTGCCTCAGCCTCTGTAGTACTGGGATTACAGGTGTGCTCCACCACACCTGGCTGTTTTCCTTTTTGATGAAGTTACGAGTACCGAATAGAGAACCAGCTAGTGATTTTGTTTAGATTTCTTTTACGTGGCAAGTGTATTTCAATATATTTGACACATTTATCTGTTTTTCTATAGAATTATTTCAGCATTTCCTTCCTTCTCTGCCTTCTATCTCCCCATCTTCTGCCTCTCTACCAAGTCATGTTTCAAAATATCATGCCTTTTTCCAGAACAAAGCAGTTTTTCAGTATAAAATACCTGTAAAATATTGAAAGACTTCAGTTCTGTACTAGCCATTTCCTTCCAAGTTTATCACTTATTTTTTTCTCCAGATGTGATTTGTGTAGAGAAGACATTTCATATTTTTCCTGCTCTTACTCTGAGATCACTAATGCATAAAATCCCATCATGTGTATACATCAGATACATTTTGAACTTGGCATACAGGAGTTGTGTATAAGACATTATTCCATGAGGCAAAACTACATATGAATTCCATAATTAAAATGGTTAATTATCTTATGATGATCACTGGTAAACATATATAGAGTGTTACATGAAAATTTTTGCCTAGGTACAAAAATTGGCCTTTACATTCTTGGCAAAATGTTCTTTGAAACCATGCTAGATAGGTTTTAAATTTATATTCAATAAAATAAAGTATTAAATCAAAGGTGAAGTAAAAACATGCATGGACTCTAATATCTAACCTCTGTAAGTAAATGTAAGTATACAAATAGTTGGTATAGACGGTAACTGGGCTATAAATAATAATGCAGGGGTAATTGATGCAAGGTAATTGATGGTTCAGGAGGTTGATTAAATCTTTTCCTCAGAGAACAACAGAAAAGTTGCTTGGTTTTAAAGACCAGTGTGCCGGAAGGTTAGGAGCTCTAAAAACGAGTTTCATAGCTTAAGAGTACTCTCAGGATTTCTTCATTTGTCCTGAGACTCCATGTAAGAATTAATATCAACCAGAGCAGGATAAGTTGAGCTTGTTAAACTCTTTAATGTGTTTCAAACAAAGAATTTTGCTATTTTGCTCAGCCATATTTAAAATGGAATAGCTAATAAAACAGGGATTAATGCTGGACAGAAACTAGTGTTTGGTTCAAGAGGAAGGCATGAGTTAGATGATATGCAGATCTATTTGATAAAATTTCTTAATAATTGCTTAAATTTCATTTTGTGGAAAATATTTTATATGGATTATTTTATATTTGTATAGCAGTGTGATTAAAAAATGGTTGGAAAGTCACATGAAAAATGTATATTTGAGAAGTTTATGCAGAAAGAGGTGAGATTCCAGACATGTGACATTTCAGTTGGCTGTGCCAGTCCATGGTGAGGCAATCTTGAGAAGAAAGTATGTTTCTTTCATTTTTGACTCAAGGTTTAACATTTCATTCCCTGAAGTCATTTGTATTATTAACTGCCATCATGTTGAATGTCACTTCTATAGGCAATTACAGACCTTCCAATGCTTTTTAAAAACTTCTGTAACTTTTCCTTGGTAATTTGTAAATGTTAATAGAGAGAGATCATTCATTCATCTTTAGATATTTATTTGATGCTTACTGTGTGGCAGGCCCTTTGGATCCAACTTCCAGAAGATAGGTTAATGAAGAAATACTGGGTAAGAAGAGGAAACACGTGGAAATGATACAGAATGTATAGGAATCATCCTAAATCCAAACTTGGGCCAGGGTGGAGGTGTTGTTGAAGAAAACTACTGTACCTTGGACTTGAATGAGTCCAAGGTACCTAGAAGTAGGCAGAGGAGTTGGGGGTGGGATGTGAAAAAGAAATATTTTGGGTAAAGGAAAACCTGCAAAGTTTGAGGATGCAAAGTAAGCTTTGCTTAGCTGGACGGTACCTTGTTAAAGAGGAGAGGATGAGAGTTTAGAGCCACACGTTTGAGCTTTTTGCAGAGGGCTTGGCCAGCACAATCAGGTCTGTGCTTGTGGTCTCAGCATTATTAAGAGCCTTTCTTTCACAGTTGCTTCCCTATTTCAGTGATGAAGTCTGTGACCGCCCTAATTGTGAGCATATGAAAGAGTTTGGATTTTATCCCAAGTGCAGTGGAAAGCCATAGGAAGGTTTTAAGTGAGTGACACACTGTATGTGTAGAATGTAGAGCAGATTTTGAGGTGGGTGGTGCTGGAGGCTGGTGGGGAGGGAAAGCTGTGTGGAGGACAGCCAGGGAGGGGCTGGTCAGGGTTCAGGTGGTCACCATGGGAGTCCTGGTGGAGGCAGTAGTGTGAGTTGCTTGAAGGGGTAACTTTGCCACTCAGAGTTAGAATAACTGGTTAGTTATTTGGGGGAAAAATGAGAAAAAATGCCTACTAGAGTGAATTCCAAATAGGTTAAAGGGTTCTGTGTAAGAAATTAAATCATAAAAACATTATGGGGCTCAGTAGTGAAGCACTTGCCTAACATGTTGAGGCCCTAGATTCAGTCCTCAATACTTCAAGGAGATAAAACTGTATATTAGCAAAAACTTGATAATTATTTGATCATAAGGTAGAAAAAGTATTCAGAAGCACAGGGCCAGATGCAAACAAACAGAAATGCAGTGTGTGTGTGTGTGTGTGTGTGTGTGTGTGTGTGTGTGTATTTTTAAAAAGAAAATTAAAAAAATAAATCCATGAATGAAGTTAGAAGGAAAACTATACAAATGCTAATAAGCCACATGCTTGTGTAGGGGTGCAGTGCACAAGAGCAGCAATGGTGGTGTGTGTGGGATGTTGATAGAGGTATGCTGGTTTGCACAGAGATTCTATTTCTAGGGACAGTGAAGATAGTTGTAATAAATATGAACCAGTCCTAGACATCACATAGCTATAGTAAAGGCAAATGTCATAAGCTAATGACTTATGACATTTGTCTTTAGTAAGAGAGGAAGTTTATTACTTTCGTGTTAATTTTACCTTCTACAAACTGACTTGATAAAGATAAAAAACCAGAAATATTCTTTCTTAATAGTGCATAATTGTGTTTTTAATTCAAACTATAAAATTCAATGTGTTTCATAGTGTTTTAGTGAGGATGAGTATCTTTTGATATCCTTAGTGACTTTATTTCTGTGAACTGTGTATTCATAAACAAGGGGTGATCATCAGAAACAGTGAATGTTTACATTTTCAAAAAATTTTTGCAATAGAAGACACATTGCCATTAATGCTCCGTAGAATCCTCCCCATCACTTCAATCACACTTACCTCATTGTTCTTGCCACTTTCTGAAATAGTTCTGGAGCCGGGTGTGGTGATATGCTGCTGTAGTCCCAACACTTGGGAAGCTGAAACAGAAGGACTGCTGCAAGTTCCAGGCCAGCCTGGGCTCTATAGTGAGTTCAAAGCCAGCCTGAACTATACAGTGAGACCCTGTTTCAAACAAACAAACAAACAAACATAGTTCTGGAAATCCTCTTTCGGGAATGTCTTTAAAGGGTGTGATCAAAAAACAGTGAATGCTGACACTGGCATCCAGTGGAAAGACAAGTGTCAGAATTGTATGTCCTCACCCACCTTATTCATCGAATCTGGCACCCAGAAACTTCTGACTCTTCCCCAAAGTCAAAATAACCATGAAAAGCAAATGTATTAAATTGATTTGGGTCATTGAGACAGCTGTGAGAGTGCAACTAAAGACACTCACGAAAGAGGACTTCTAGAGCTGCTTCAGAAAGTGGCACAGGTGATGGGATAAGTATGTTTGGGGCAGGGGAGAGTACTGTGAGGGGGATTAATGGTAGTGTGTCTTGTACTAAAATTTTTTTTTAAATGTTAACATTCACTGTAGTTTTTGATCATGCCATTTCTTCTACACATCATTATTAAATGTACATTTTTCCTCTTTAAATGGGATCATTGAATGCACTACTCACAGTTGGATTTTTATTTTTTAACATTTTGAAATTTTGGGTACTTCTCTTTGGATCAGCATAATTGGTTAACTTATTCTTTAGAAATGGAGCTTTCTGTTATTTAAAAAACATATTATGTACATTTTTTGGGTATTACAGAATTTTGTGGTATGTTGGAGCTGATATATTTTTATTAGGTTAATAAATTGTTGGCTATTAAGAGTTCTACATTTTAAGTTTTTAATAGCTATAGCTGGCTCTATTTAAGACAGATTCTTTCCATGTACAATAATGCATGAGATCTGTTTCCCCATTAGTTGTGATTGATGAAATTAATCACATGAGCCCTGTTGGTTAGTATTCTTTTTCTAGCATTACTAGTTGCCCACTACCAGAGCTGGATTGTTTGGGTTTTGCTTTTTGTGTTTAAATGGATGGTAGTTTCTAGTTTGATTCATATTGGTTGTAGGATATAGCATATGTACTTTAAAATTTGTTACATATTTTTGTCTGCTAATTTGATCAACTTTCATAAATATACCATAGCTATATGAAAATAATATTTTTATTTAAATGTGGTCCTGTACAAGTTTATATACAAAGTTAAATATACAAAGTGATTCTTGAAGAACTAAGATAATAATTATAATTAATTATAACAAGCATTGTTATAGAACAGGCTTTTGCCAAGTGCCTTCACATATTATCTCTGTAATTATTATGACACCATATTAAGTAAGTTTTAACAGTAATTCTCTTTTAAATATTAGACATAAAGCTCAAAAGTATCCATCCAGAAACTAGACTAGCATATAACTTTGTGTGAGTGTGTGTGTTCCATGGATTTCCTGTTATGTACTCAAGTATGTCTTTCTTATTGATGTCCAAGGTGGTCCTGTTTATGTGTCTCCAGCAGATAGCACTGTACTTACAGCATAGGTGACTCCCAGGAAATTAAAGCCAATGTAAACAAATATTTGGAATTTTTATTTCATTATAGCCTTTCATATCTCTTCATATAATTCAGTATATTCATATGGTTTTAAAACTTTTTACTCATGTTTTTTACTTCATCATAGCATAAAATTGTGATACTGTTCTTTTTACTCCTTAGTAATCTCAAGTTTCTGAAGAATACCAATACTTTTCGCAAATAACCTGGTGCCCTCAAGTCTATAATGGTTAGGAAATGATTTGTTATTCTGTAACACTAATGTCTCCTGAGAAATGTCAAAAATTTTAAGGATTAATAACAATAAAAACTAATCTTATTAGTTAATAAAATAGCTACAAAATGTGATCTTACTGTTCAGGTAATAAAGTCCAGAAAAAAACAGTGAAATACAAAAGAAGGAACACATGATAAGAAAGGGAGAGGTTGTGATTAGCCACATGCTTGTGTAGGGGTGCAGTGCACAAGAGCAGTAATGGTGGTGTGTGTGGGATGTTGATAGAGGTATGCTGGTTTGCACAGATATTCTATTTCTAGGGACAGTGAAGATAGTTGTAATGAATATGAACCAGTCCTAGACATCACATAGCTATAGTAAAGGCAAAATAACCTGTATGAGTCATCACACTGGGGCTCATTTTGATAAAACAGCGAAGTGAGACTCTTCAACATGGTCTTATAATTTAGGAAATCAGGGAAGATTTGGTGGATTTTCTGTAAAGGCAAGAAGACAAAGATTTTTTTGTAATTTTTCAGCTTTCCAAAACATTCACTTACCAGAAATTACTCATTGCCTGAGCATGCAGGATGGATGAGGCTTCATTAAAGCATGCTGAAGGGAAAAGTTAAGCTTTCTTTTGGAGGAATAAATCAGTTTTACTCATCCTTAGAAGCTGGACACTTAATTCTGTGGACCTGACAGATACTTAGAACTTAGAGTTCACTCCAGGGGGTCTGAGGCAGTGAGAATTTGTGAGCCTGATGAGTTAGAAAGCCTCGTATTCAATTTCCTGCAGATTCTTCTGGGCAACAGGTAAACCCATCAGTTGTGATTGGTTGTTATGGCATATGGAAACACAATTTCCATTTTAAGTTTTGCCTTTTGAAAGGAAAATCTGTATATTAAAAAATAAAATTGCCATGGTTAAAACAGGAAAATGGAGCACAAAGTAACTTTTAGTTGTCCAAATAAAAATGTTGCTAACCAACAATATTGTAAAGCAAAGCTGTTAAAAAAAAGATGAACTTGAAATCTGTAAGATTGTTTTGGAATCCAGAAATGGAAGTGAGTCCTGTATTCCTGCAAGTATTATAGTGGCTTTATTTTAAAAAATTTGCTCTGGCTATTCTCACTATGTTTCAATATATAATATATAACTCAATATATAATTCATAATTCTTAGTATATTTCAAGACAGTTACATACATTTCAAAATAGTGTATATTTTTAGTGCTCTTTGTCCTCACTATACGCCCCATCTGTCATTTTCCTCCGATCTAAAAGACTTTCTATAACATTTCTTATAATGCAGGTAGATTGCTAATGAATTTTTTAGCTTTTTTATGTCTTTAAAACATCTTTATTTCACTGAAAAAAATCTTTATTATTAAAAGATATTTTTGCTGGGTATAGAACTCTAGACCAACATGATATTCATAATATTTTGTTTATATTTCATTATATTTTGCCTTCATCTTTCATTGTGAGTGAAAGAAAACTTTCATTTAATTTGCTTTGCCTATAAATTTACTTTTTATTCAGCATCTAATCTATATTAATCTCATTTTGTGTGCTTTTTCCGTATTTCAAAGATTATAGTTTTAATCTCTACAAGCTTGATTTGAATTTTTATGTATTTCATAGCTTGTGTTCAGTCTTCTAGATTTTTTGAACATACAGTTGAAGTGTTTATTTCTATCACTTTATCATTTTTATTCTTCATTATGTGCAGTATTTTCTGCTCTTTTTGTATGCCTAGTAAGTTTTGATTGACTACCAGTCATTTTGAATTTTCTCTCATTTGATTATGGATATTTTTGTATTTCTTTAGATAATATTCTTGAACATTTTTTGTTTGTTTTTTTTTTTTTGGTACTGGGACTTGAACCCAGGGTCTTGTGCTTGCTAGGCAGGTGCTGTACTGCTGAGCTACGTCCTTGGCCCTTGGCCATTTTTCTGTAGCATGGTTATTTGGAAACAATTTGATTCTTTTATAGGCTTGCATTTAAGCTTTTTTAGTGAGACTATAGCAGCATTTAGTCTTGGGCTTATTTTTCTCACATTGAAGTAGTACCTAATTAGTAACCACTAAAAGCCAGCCTTTAGTAACCACTCTTTTACTCTCTACTTCTATGAAATCACCTCTACATGTTCTGCATGTTCTGTCAACTCTACATTAAAAAGGCTTGATTAGAAAATAGACACCAGTTTTCTTCTGTTTCACTAAATAGCAAATATTAAAACACATCAGCCTAAAAATTCATATATAATTGTAAGCTGTAAGCATTTATCTCAGCAAAGGACAAGATGCTGAGATCAAGAAATATAGGGACCTACTTATTTTTTCTTTTTTTTGGTACTAGGAATTGAACTCAGGACCTTACTCTTGCCAGTCAGGTGCTGTGCCACTGAACTACATCCTTGGCCTGGGACCTACTTTCATTTTGGCTATTCTGGCCAAGCTTCAAAGAGAAATAATTATTTAAATTGAGTGAAGAAAGTGGTAAAGGTTGAGAGGGTGTGCAAGACTTATCAGAGGATGTTAAAGAGTTTGATGTTCTCCCCAGTCTTGGGGGCAGCTTTATAAGGGTTTCAATCTTAAGGTAATCACCTTTACTACCATATGAATCATGAATTTGAAAATAGGCCAGAGTGAATGCAGCCAAACCAATTAGAGATCACTGAAGTACTCCAAGTAGAAATAATGGCATCAGTGATAGAGACCTGGAAACTGCTAGCTTTTTAGGTAAAAAGTGATTGGTTGCAGCTACTCAGCTTTGCCATGATAGCATGAAAGCAACCAAGACAATATATGAATAAATGTCACTATGTTTCAAGAATAGTTATTTACAAAAATAAGTAGCATGGTTTGCTGATCTTCTGTAGATTAGAGAGAAGAAAACAAATTTTAGTATATTTTTGGAGTAGATTTAACTTAGTATACTTTGGGGTACATGGGTGGGATATTAGGAAGGTGGGTGAGACAAGAGGTTTCATGATGATTTTTAGGTTTCTGACATGGATAGTGGTGCTTCTGGTCAGGAAACAGGTAGTGGAAAGTCTAAAACTCACTCACGTAAAATAGTAGTGACATGCAAAATTCCAATATTTTCCCCATCTTTGATCCTTAAGGACAAGATGTCCGTGTTTTGAAGGATGTTACCTCTGTACATTACTAGTAATGACTATAAATACTCTCATTCTTCTATACATGCCTATTTCACAAAATATTAAAGTGAGAAAACAAAAGAATCACATAGTGTGTTTTCTACACTCCTTCTGGCTCATTGACAGTGTATCCATAGCCTCATTTTCTCCCTCTCTGAAAAGTAACCACCCCTCCACCCTGTCTCCAGCTGCCATAGTCCTAAGGATAAAGCCAGGAACTAGGGAGCTAGAGCAGAGCTGCTCTGATTGTTTTCATGCACCAGTGGCTTTGGAGATGGAAGTGCTACCTTGTAGAGTGGCTTTTTGCAGCTCTGCACGTTACACTTTCAACTTCTTCTGTGGAGACTTCTTTGCATGTCATTGCTTTATTGTCATTGTAATGACAAAATTGTAATGCAGTTTTGATTTTCTTTATAGTCTCAGGTGTGGGGGGTTTCATATTTGCTTAATATTTTCCTGAATCTTTGTACTTTATAGGCTCTGCTCTCTGTGCATGACACTGTGGCTCAGAAGAATTACGATCCCGTGTTGCCTGCTATGCCTGATGATATTGATGATGAGGAAGACTCTGTAAAAATAATCCGCCTGGTCAAGAATAGAGAACCGCTGGTAAGTCTGGTCCACATTTCATGTTAAGGTATGAGTAGCTGTTGCGATACCAGCAAATTGGATGGGCACATACCAATTTTTCTTGCTTTTAAAATAGGCTTCCTCTGTGTCCTCCTCAAACTTTGAGGTAAATGAAACATTTCTGTCTAAAAAACATGATTTGGGAAAATTAGAATGAAGTCAAATAAAATAGCAAGCATCCTATTGATTACTAATAGCAATAATTTTGAAAACAATGAGCTATTGATATTTATTAAAAAATATAACATGCACCAAGTATGGGTAATTTGAAATTAAATGGTGTAACTAAAAGAAATTGTTGATTAATTTTAAAGTAAAACAAATTATTTGGTCAAGTGTCCGATATTTCAAAATGTAAATATAATCATCATATAATCATTTATTTTTACGCCAGAATTCATAGTGTTGACCTATGTGAAGGTTGTGTGAGGGGTAAAACAATGACCTCTGCCACTAGACATGTGTTCCTTTGCCCAGATCCTGTGAATGTATCACCTTACACAGCAAGATGGACTTTCTGTGACTAAGGTCTTGAGATGAGGAGGTTGTACTGGATTATCCAATGTAACCAACAAGTTCTTAGAAAAGTGAGAGAGAGAGTAAGCAGTAGGGTTAGAGGGAGAGATGGACATGTGATGACAAGAGCAGAGGTCGGGGTGACAGACGTGGTGATGAGTCATGGAATCATGAAAAGCAAGGAGGCCTGGTTCTCTCCTGGAGCCTCCAGAAGGCGAGATGGCCTTCCTTGTCTTTAACTCTGTGAAACCCCTGTGGCTTTTTGACCCTCAGAACTGTAAAATAACAAACTCGGATTAAGCCACTCATTTGTGCTTATTTGACAGGGCCAGTCCATATTTTATGAAGCTGTGTTCAAAAGAAAAATAATTTAAGTTGCATAGTCTAGCAGTCGATTTAAAATGTGTCATGTCCAATTTATTGCAATGAATGCATTTTTGTGTCCTCGAAGCAAGTAGCTTTTGATAATATAACAGATGGTAGCACGCTGTGCACTATGTAAAGTAAGAACTTCACATATATTTTATCCTCATAGTTGGTATAATTTTCCGATTTTACAATCTAGAAAAAACTTGTGTTCAAGGAAGTAAAGCAGCTCAGTAGAACTAAGATGTAAACTTAATTCTTTACCTTCAAATACTAGGTTTTTTTCTTTGTATCATATTGTGTCTTTTGTACTCTTCTCCTTTGATAGTTTTTTATCTTCTTGTCTTAAGGGCTCCTTAGATGCACTGATAAATGGATTGAATTTTCATACCCATAAAAAACATAGATAGCTTACATTGTCCTCTATTGCTTGAGGACATTTATCGAGTTTCTGATGCTCATTCATGGACATCCTAGGGCTTCTTGTGTTCCTGGTTCAGATTCTTTACTTTCATGTTGTGAAGCACCTGCTTTTAGTCCATGGCTAGAGCTCTGTAGTGGTAACCTACATATCTCTTGACTTTTATTCTTGTCATATGCTTAGTAATTGGATGTAGAGGTGTAGAGAAAACTGACTCCAGAGCATGTCATCATAGAGTGACTAATTCTTTGTAGGTTCTATGCATATATCAAGCAAGGTTTTGTTTTGTAGTTTTGATAGATTCACTTCTCATGGAGGTAATGGAAAGACTGATTCAGTTGACGAGTTCAGTAATTCATTAGTAATAATTGCATTGATCAATCTTAGTTTTACTAGTTTTTCCTAGTTTTGGAGGTGTTAGTTTGGTGAGCTGACATTTAGAGAGTCATCAGCATTTGTCTTTATGACCCTTCAAACTGCCTGCTCAGAAGTTTTAGTTCAATCTGCTATTTCTTTTACATATGAAAGAAATCCAGTGAACAGTATAAAATAATTTGTCATAGTTTCTTACTGAATATACTATATACCCTTTTGCTAAAAAGCATGGAACAATAGAAACAAAGTTCAAGGAGGTGGTAATTATTCATCTATTGTCCTTCTTTTCTTACTATGTATTATAGTGTATTTAAGGTGTGAACTAGAGTAACGGCAAGAGTTACTTGTAAGTTGGATTTGAAGTGACCAGATAAATCTTGAATGAAAAGGACAAGCAGAGAGAGGTCACAAAGTAGCACAGCAGGTTTTTATTTGGGAGATTAGAAGTACTGGCTTTCAGTTAGAGGAAAATGCAGGGGATAAAAACGAAGAATTTCCTTAAAAGATCACTTCCAGTGATAAATTGCTTAAAAAAAGAATATTTCTCTTGAGTACGAAAATGTTTTCCAGATTTGTAATATTTGTATATTCAGGAGATAGTTTAAGCATTTCTCAAATTTTTCAGTTTCTTACAGTATAGTATGGTACAATTTAGCAACTTTGAACTCCACCCTAGTTAGTAACATTTTCCTTTCTATTTATGCCCAAATGAGGAGGTATTGAAAATGTTAGGTCTACATGTTCCTTTGTTTGTTTATTTGTTTGAGATAAGGTCTCACTATATAGTGCAGGCTAGCCTTGAACTCACTTATGCAGCTCAGGCTGGCCTCCAAGCATGACTATCCTCTTGAGGTAGGATTACAGGCCTGCCCTACCACGCCTGGTTGAGGTCTATGTATTTTACTCTATCTATAATTGCCATTCTGCTTACTTACTTATCTTTATGTTATTTAAATTGTTTTTTCTGGTTTTGTGTTTATTATTTAAAAGTAAATTGGTAACATTTTTTCCCACCAAACATATGCAGATAACTTCTTTAAACTCAAGCTTTAGTTTTCTATATTTACTGCAATTTAAAGTCACCATGAGGATTTTTGACTTTCTTATTTAAATAAAATATTTTAGTGATTCTTTATTTTCTTAGCCAAACAATGTGATTTCATGTTTTATGTTTCAGAAGCTGTATTTAAAACAGACAAACAAAAAACCCCAACTTCCTACGGGATAAGAGCCTTTAACTAGGTTAAAGAAATTCCCAAGGTTATTTATTGTGTATTCTTTTCTTTAAAAAAAGTATTAACATTTTAAATGCCATTTTTAATAAAATCCAGTAAGGAAAATTACTTGTCTTGAGCTTTTTTCTCATCTAAATGTATAATTGCCATATTGTTTTCACTTTGACAGTTTTATAAAAGTAAGGTAAGATTATTGGGTGAATAAATTCAAAGTTTAAAACATGTATTACACAGAAAAGTAGAAATGATTTATGCTAAATATTATTTGTCATATGATACTTGTCAGATTGGAGAAGTTACTGGAGGAGCTATTATATGGCAAAGCAAAAGGGCAGATTAAAGAGTCAGGCATGCAGGTAAAGGAGTTCAAGTAGTAAAGAACAGAAATAGGCAAAGTGAAGGAAGCCAGGCTGGTCAGGAAACTGTTGGCAAATGATTCATGAGGAAAGGACATAAATACTGGCAACTGAGGGATAGGTTACCACTGAGTACGCTTGTCTATTAGACCTGGGTGCAGTGTGGTGACATGGATCATGAGTAGCAGGCTTGCACTTGGTGACCTGTGTGAGGAGAGATTTTGTCACTTATTTGTTCTCCTCTCACAGTGGGTCATTTACCTCTCAGGCTTGGTATCCTCATAAGAAGCTCGGGAGATGCCCTCTTCAAGGGTACTTTGAAAATGAACTGAGATAGAATGTATTTGAAGTGCTTTATAAGCTGTGAGGTATCATATAAATGTTGCACAAAATGATAAAGCTAGAATCTAGACTGCTGTTATGCAAAGAGAGAATGATTACCCAGGAGAACAGGTGACAGCACAGATCATGCAGGTATTTGGCAATGGAGAAGAAAAGAGTTAGTTCAAAGGGAAGGATGGATAAAACAGCCAAGAGAAGAGGGGAAAAACATCAGTCAAAATATGAAGAGCAGAGGTATCCTACCTCCTCCTGTGTGACTCTGGAGCAGTTTATATTTGTTTTGTCCAGAAAATTGAGATTTAAGCAAGTGAAGAAACTAAGATTCTGTTAGTTACTGAGTGGATTGTGGTACTATTTTTATTGTTTCTTGTTCTCTTGATTTTTTGAGAACAGTAGTTTTCAAATTTTGGTATTATAAGAATGACCTGAGGTACTTACTAACAATAGATATTTCTGAGCTCTGTCCCAAAAGATCTATTACACCAGGAGGTTTTTGGTGAGACTTGGGAGTCTTGATTATAAAAAGTGCTTGAGATGTTCTTATTGCACACTTGGTAAATACTTATTTCAAAATCTTAACCTGTAATTGCTGTGCTGCCTGCTTAAGGAGACCTTGGTGGTTTGTAGGAGATAAAACTTTTATTTAAGAAAATCATGATAATTTGTGCTAGCAGTCTTCCTTTATAAACCACTTTACAAAGTTAACAGTGAACAAGAATATAACCAGAATTTTTTTTTTTTTTTTGGTTTTTCTCCGGTACCGGGAACCGAACTCACGACCTTGTACTTGCCAGGCAGGCGCTTTTGCCGCTGAGCTAAATCCCCAGCCCCTATAACCAGAATTTTAATCTCTCAATCTAACTGAAATGCTCAGTATTCTATTTTCATCAAAGTAGCATACAATAAATTTAAAATAATTATGCAAAAAAGTGTAATTTTTCAGAATATTATATTCCACTTTAATTCATTTACATTTGCAGATTATGGCATAGAGTTTACAATTTCTGTCCAGGGTCATATATTATGCTGCATACTATTGAGTTTGATCTTTCCTACACATACGTTGTACTGGTAATACATTGTAATAATAGGGGTATGGAAAGCAATTTGTATATAGAGGTCTTCAAGTGAAGAGGAAAATAGAGAGTTACATTTTTATTTCTGGGGTCCTATGCCAGCCTGCACCTAACTACTCCCCTGAACAGATTTGTCTTCCTGTCTTCCACCAGTGCCAAGTACATGTTACCCCTATCTGACTGACCTTACCCTGAACCTGTACGTTATTTTAAGCACTTGGTTCCCGCAGCTGCTAGCTTGCTCCACCCTGAGCTTGTGTGCTTCCTGTAACTGAGCTTGCCTGGAGTTTGAACTTGCATACTTGCAACATGTATGATGTCGTTTTCTCTTGGGCCAGATGGTAATAATGACATAAGATGTAACCAGTCGATAACTGCCAAATACTCTGCTTCTGTACTTCCCACTTGGAGGCTTCGTATAATCCCTAAACTACCAGACATTGAGGCCTGATACTTTCAGAATGAATTCTGATTAGGTCCGTCGATGTTAAATAAATCTGCTTCCAAATTCTGGGTGACATTTCAGTGTTTCTGTTTGCCACTGCACAAGAAGAAAGGGTTCAAAATGCTGATTGAAGCTAATGGCAGTATCCTATAGAAAGTGAAATTGTTTCTCAGGCCCAAGTTTACCCTCCAACAGAAGTGGGATCAGTCGGTGGCAAGCCTTTTCTATCAGGGTCTGTATCTATAGCAAAATAACCCTTAAGTGTTGGAGGACTCTTCTTTACACTTTATAGAAATGACTTCATTCTGCCCATGGTATTACAAAACATCTTTGTGCCAATGACTCCCAAGACTATTTCTTTTCCAGAGCTTTCTCTTGACCTTTAAATTTGTATAATCCATCCTTCTACTCAGTATCTGCATTTGGATGTCTAATAGAAATCTCGGTGTTCACATGTCCAAAAATACACTCCTGATCTTTGATCACAAACCTGTTCCACCCATACCATTTTAATTGATGGCAATTCAGTCCCTCCAGTTGCTCAGCCCAAAAGAGCAATTGATCCTTCTCTTTCACATCCCATAGCCAATTCATTAGGAAATCCCTTTAGCTCTACGAAAAACACATCCACAGTGCTTTTTATTATCTCTATTCCTGCCACTCAGATCTAAGCCACCATCATCTGTCTCCAGGATAATTGTAATGACCCAGTTTCTTTCATTGCTTGAGCCCTTGCTGATTGTTTTTTAATTAGTGTATGTTTATAATACATAATGGTTACATTCATTTTGGAGAATTGATACACATATATGGCATATCTTGACCATTTTGGATTCCTTTACCCCTAGTACAGTAGGTACTGCTGCTCACAGCCATGCACATTCTCCCTTTCTCCTCCTGAGCCCAATCCAGTATCCCCCCTCACATGGTCTGCAGAATGCTGCATAACACAGCTCCCTGACCCTGCCTGGCCTCATCTTCTACTGCTTCTCCTTTCACTCTGCTGCAGCTGCACTCTCTGCTGTTCCTTGAACATTTTTTCCATTCACAGATTCTCCTTGGCACCTACTGTTTCTGCTTTTTTCCCCTTTGGCTAACACTGTCACTGTTACTTCTTTCCAGTCTTTCTTTATTGAGATGTCGTCATCTTAATGAGACTCGTGTCTTCACATTATCTCCCCTCCACTTGCTGTGGCATCCTGACCTCCTTACTGTCCTCTTACCTCTGCCTACCTCCAGAGTGCTTACTGCATTCTAATAGAGAAGATAATATGTATAATGATTTCATCTCTTGTCTATTATCTCTCTCCCTCATTAGATTACAAGCTCCATAAAGAGGCAGAAGTTTTGTTCACCAGTGTGTTACAAGTCTTTCGAATCCTGTCTGGCTTATAATCAGTTCTCAATAAACATTTATCTATTTTTTTGAATCATAGAAAAAATCAGAGGGACTAACTCTAAGCACAAGAAACTTGTGGTTCTATACTGAAAACCAGTAAAGTACTATTGCATAGTGGAAAGAGAGAGATTTGTTCCAGTTACTTAGTTTTCTGTTATGAACATGATGTGTTTATAATCCAAATATTGGGGCTAAAACAGTACATAATTACATTTCACAGGTGTGCAGGGTGGTGAGCTTGGCTGGAAGGTTACCACTTGCAGTCCCTGGTGCATGCACTCAGATGCTGGTAGCTGAGACTGCAGTCATCCAAGGGTCCTTGTGTTCACACAGCTGATGCCTGGACTGGAAGCTGTGAAGTTGGGACTGGTTAGGCATGATGATCGTGAGGTGGTATCTCTTAACTAGCTTGGGCTTCCCCACAGCATGGCTGTGGTTAGGATTTGCATGTGGCAGCTGCATTCACAGACAGGAAGTGTTTTATGAGGCCAAGGTGGCAACTGCCTGCCTTTTCATAGCCTTAGAAGCTGTAAAATGATTTTCACCCCTTGATAGGTGATTTGCACATGCAAGAAGGGAAGACAAGCCACAGTGAACTTGCAAACCTGCAGGCAAAATCAACTTATGAAGAGAAGTTTATTGAAATGTATAGAGTGAGCAATATTGAATGCAAATTAAGATTATCTGGTCAGACTATCTCAGACAGGTCCCAATTTTACTATATACTAATTGTCAAATCTTAGGCAAATTATGGTCATTTGAGATTCAGTTTCTTATCTTTAGAATAGATAAGTAAACTTAGGTTATTAAACTTTTCTGCCATTTAGCATATTTTGGTGGGCAGTTTGAGTTATATTCTGAAAGAAGGAAAGTTGGTTTGATTAAACTAATAGTTGTATCAACAATATTATATCTCCACTCATTGTGGCCTTAAATTATCCACTTAAATAAGGAAAATACCAGCCGTTGGTGGAGCTGTGGTTCATTGCTCAGGAGAGAGGCTCATTCAAGCACACGTAGTTAAGGAAAAATGTCACACAAGCGTTCCATTAATTTTTTTTTTTTTTTTTTTTTGTTTTTTTTCTCCGGTACCAGGAACTGAACTCACGACCTTGCGCTTGCCAGGCAGGTGCTTTGCCGCTGAGCTAAATCCCCAGCCCCCGTTCCATTAATTTTTTATTTTTACTATTATTATTAGATATATCTGATAGTTATTAGAGATAAAGAATACTTATAAACCGATTCATACTGTTTTCATATTTTTTCTTTAATAATATATTTGTGCTTATTGACAAACTTAAGAAAAATTCTTCTTTAGAATGATTTCTGCCATGACTTAAAGCATACCTTTTGAAGGACTACAAGGTTGTGGCTCAATGGTAGAGTAACTCCTTAGCACATGCAGGGACCTGAGTTCCATCCCCAGTGCTGGGAAAAAAAAAAAAAATGTAGACTTTTCAGCCTTCTGATGCAATGTGGTGTGGCTTTTCTAAACCAATGCCTATTTCTTGGATGGAAAGCCGTGCAAAGGCGAACCATTTGTGCCTGTTATTCTTTTTTTTTTTTTTCCCCTTTGGGTACCGGAAATTGAACTCAGGGCCTTGTATTTGCCAGGGTGCCTGTTATTCTTGTAAAGCAGCATTCAGTTAATTTGCCTCTGGGTATCTGTAAATGAAGAATTTTGGATTCTTTTTGAGATTGTTTGTAAATCTTAAGTCAAAGGATTAGCGCTATTTGTGTGAGGTACAATCTGAACTCAGGTTCATTAAAAACCTGGAGTGACAGATCTTTTTGATTTAATTGAGCAACATATACAACTAATTTCCAGGTTTTAATATTTTTCTTTTTTCTTTATTGTTATTATTGAGCTCCTTTACTATAACAGCTTACTGTAAGAGAAGAATCATAGAACTAGAAATGCCAGGAATGGAAACCAGAGTCCCAAGCACGTTAGGCACGTGCTATGCCATTGAGCAAGATCCCTGCTCATGCCGTGGCCTTAGCTCTGATTTATATAATCTTTTGTCTATTCATATAACCATCACTAGTCAATCTTCTTTATGAGGTATTATGAGGGTAAAACAAAATGAGAAAGTGCTTTAAAAGGGTAAGAGCAAACACCATTCTAACACAACTAATTCAAGATATTCTTATAATTGAAAGAAGATATTTTTATTTCCCACAGTTTTGAAAAGGTAATTATATATGTCTTTATGTTGTGCTAAAGCACTTAGATGCTGTGTAGATAGAATTTTCTGTATTTAGAAAGGTGTATTTGTGTGACAGATAACATGAAGTCTGTTCCTCCTATCTTATTCCTTTAATTATTTTGTCATTGTACTTTTTCCAGCTGAATGTCCTTTCTTCCCTGCTGCCTTTCTACTGCACAGTATGCACATTTACTCATAGCTCTTTTCTCTTTTTTTCCTTCAAAGGGAGCCACCATTAAGAAGGATGAACAGACTGGGGCAATCGTTGTAGCTAGAGTCATGAGAGGAGGGGCTGCGCATAGAAGTGGTGAGGTTTAAATAGTCATTAAGTTGATATAAGTTGTGTTGGGTTTTATGACACTTCCAATATAAGTTTTAAAATATCTCTGGGTATAATACACCAAAACAAGTCATAAGATATTTTTCTGTTTTGAAATTTGGGAACCTACATAAATACATGCTAGATAAATCTCACTGGTCTCAATGCACATAGGCTTGTAAAGTTATGTTAAGACCTGTTTCAGTGTTCCTGATTTGAAAACTACTGCTAAGAGCATGCAACTTTTAAAAAAAATTATCTCATAAGATGTTAGTAACATATATTTCTAGAAAAAGACAAACATAGTGTTATAATTTTTAAAAGCATTCTTGTATTGCATTGGTTCTTTGTGGTGGAGAAGCGTGGAACCTGAAGGCTGAGAAATGTGAAGGTCTTTCCAATTCTTAACTCTTCCAAGGGAATTAATGGTGATTTAATTGAGAGAAACATTTGCAAATTGCAGTTTATTTTGTGTGACAGTGCTGTTATAGCAAATTTTGTATTTCATAGGTCTTATTCATGTTGGTGATGAACTTAGAGAAGTGAATGGAATACCAGTTGAAGATAAAAGACCTGAGGAAATAATACAGATTTTGGTAAGCTGTATATTTATTATAAAGTTGCAATGAAATAAAATTGCAGTTTTTTCTGACTTGGTTTGAAATATATGGGGTTGTAGGACAGGATTCAGATCCCAGATACTATCACTTCATTGCTGTGGGCCTTAGGAAACACTTTAATTTGCTTGTGCCTTAATGTTTTTATTTATAAAATGAAATGAGAGAGGTAAATATTTTACTGACATGTTTAAGTATTAATGAGGTAATATATATAAAGAATTAGGGACAGGTCACAACCTGAACAAAAATAGATATTAATAGATAGCATCTGCATTGTTCTTGATGACTGATTTGTCTTTGTCCCCTGTAACTGACATAGCCATACTGCAGACTGTCAATTCTAGGTATGCAAATAGGGAAACTAATTTAGATGTCTTATGAAATTAAAACTTGAATTATTTTAGACCTGAACAATAGTAATTTTTAAGTTCATTTGTAAGGATAAAATAGAAATGTTCTCTTTAATGCCTCAAATCATAAACATACCGCAATAAAAAGATATGAGCATGGAAAAACAGATCTCTTTATAAAAATTAGTATATGTTGTGTGATCATCCTTTGTCCTCCAGCTTTGCTTCTACTTCTTTTGCAATTGTCTTTGTTTTATACACTATCATCCCTAAATTTCTCTCCCACAGGGTAGAATCACTCTACCAAGGGGAAACACCTTGTGTACAAACTCTTTAATTTATGATCAGTTCTGTTGTATACTATAGACTTTGCTCCAGTGTTCTAAATACAAAATCAATAGTTACCACAGTTTGTCAATTTCCAAATTGTGCTCAATGCTATTGTAACTGCTAATTGTAATACTTTAGCTAGGATGTTATATCTGCTGTCATCAGTTGTTCTCCTTTCTGTAACAGTACTGGGAAGCTCTGGAGTAATAATGTCACCACAGACCAGCACCAAATGACTGGGGACTGAGCCAAATAGATATCTCACTCTTAATCAATTGGGAAGATAGGTTCTTGGGACAGACACAAACCAAGAACCTCCTACACACAGAAGACATCCCTAAAGAACAGACTTTTCCTAGAGAGGCCTTGATACTAGAGATATAGGTGCCTACTACAAAAACTGACAAGGATCATCACAGAAAACAAAATAAAAAATTTTTTTGAGACAGAAAATGACAAGACAAAGAAGCAAAATGTAATATCAGACTTGTAGCCCATGCAGAACAATTCCAGGAGACATCGATATAGAAAAAAGTAGAAGACACACACCTGAAGTTTCTGAAATGTTAGCAGCTGAAGTAAAGAAACAAATCCATGAGGCTATAGAGGAAATCATATCAGAAATAATCTCTCAAGTAAAAAAAGAAATGACAACCATAATGAAGGAATTGTGCAGCATATCTAGAAAAGATATAGATAAAAAAATAGAGGAGCATAGAAAAATTATAGAAACCTTGAATGAATAATACAGGAAAGAATTAGAATGCATGAAAAAGATTGAAAGAGCTATCCAGCAGATTAAAAACTCCATTGAAAACTGGCAAACTACTTGAGTGAAACTGAAGATAGGCTTTCAGACTTTGAAGATAGGATTGTGGCTAGTGATCACAAAAGGAAAGATCTCTTAAAAATAACAAGGGACCAGGAAATAACAATTCAACAGCTGCAAGACAATGAAAAGCAAAACAATATAAGATTGATAGGTGTCAGTAAAAAAGTAGGAGTCAACACAAATGGCATAAAAAGATTATTTGTAGAAGTAATAGCAGAAAATTTCCCAAGCATGGGAACACAATCTGACATAGAGTTAAGTGAGGCATATAGAACTCCAAACAGATATGACCAAAATAAATCTTTATGTCCCATAAATCAGCACAGAAACAGAATATTCAAAGCTGTTGGAGAGGGGCTGGGGATTTAGCTCAGCGTCACAGCACCTGCCTGGCAAGCGCAAGGTTGTGAGTTCAATTTCCAGTACTGGGAAAAAAAAAACCCAAAGCTGTTGGAGAAAAAACCCAAGTCCCCTATAAAGGCAGGCCTATTAGAATCATGGCTGACTTGTCAACACAAATGCTGAACTCAAGAAGAGCTTAAAGTAAAATATTTGTCTTGAAAGAAAATAACTTCTAACCCAGATTGATACACCCTGCAAAACTATCTTTCAAAATTAATGGAGAAATAAGATACTTCCATGACAAAGAACAACTGAAGGAATTCATGAGCATCAAACTAATCCTACAAAGAGTCCTGAAAGATATTCTAGATAGAGATAAAAATGACTACAATTCCAAGAAAATCGGAAAGAAACCATCAGGCAGGGCAAGCAGTTGAACAGAGGCAAAATGCAGGGGATAACAGCAGGAAAAAGACATGACAAAGATAAGCCAATACATATCAGTTGTAACTATCAATGTAAATGGCCTCAGTTCATCAATCAAAAGAAACAGATTGGCAGAATGGATCAAGAAACAAGATCCAACAATATGGTGTATACAAGAAACATATTTAGCTAAAAAAGAAACTCATGGGCTGAAAGTCAAAGGATGGAAAACAATACTTCATGCAACAGGAGTCCAGAAAAAAGTGGTAGCTATTCTGTTTGCAGACAATGTGAACTTCAAATCAAGAATGATCAAAAGAGGTAAGGTCACTGTTTGTTAGGGGAAAAATTCAAGAGGAAGAGATAACAATCATAAGTATATATGTACCAAATATGGGAGCACACAACTATGCAAGACAAATATTAATCAAGATGAAAAGTCAATCAATAACACAATTGTAATGGGGGACCTTAATACCACATTGCCACAAAGAGATCAACTAGACAGAAAACCAGCAAAGAAATAACAGAGCTGAACCAAACCTGTGAACAAATGGACTTAGTATACTTTTACTTAGTTTTCCACCCAACAAAATCAGAATACATTCTTCTCAGCTGCACATAGGATGTTCTCTAAAATAGACCATGTAGTAGCCAATAGAACATTCTTAAGTAAATGCAAAGGAATTGAAATTATCCCATGGATATTATCTGACCATAGTGCAATGAAATTGGAAATCAATGGCAGAAGAAACCACAGAAACTCCATAAACACATGGAAATTAAATAACACCCTCCTGAACAACCAGTGGGTCACAGATCAAATTAAAGAAGAAATTGAACAAAGCCTACAATGAAATGAAAATGCAAATGCAGCATACTAGAACCTGTGGGACACAATGAAAGCAGTCCTAAGAGGGTAAGTGTGGTGAGTTCTTACATCAGGAAAACAGAACGAGCACAATTAAACAACTGAATGCTGCACCTCAAACTTCTAAAAGAAGAGTGAGTCAAGCTCAAAGCCCATAGAAGGGAGGAAACTGTAAAGGTCAGAGCAGAAATTAACACAATGGAGACTAAGAAAACATTGCAAAGAATTAGTGAATCGAATAATTGGTTGTTTGAAAGAATAAATAAAATTGATAAACCCCTGGCCAACTTTATCAAAAAGGAAAAGAAAAAACTCCAATTCATGCAATGAGGAATGAAAAGGGTGAAATTACTATAGATCCTTTGGAAAATCAGATGATCATCAGTACCTGCTTTGAAAATCTTTACTTGCATAGGATGGAAAACATAGAAGCAATGGACAGATTTCTAGAAACATGAATTACCAAAGTTGAATCAAGAAGATATAAAAATCCAGAATAACTCATTATCAGTTAATGAAATTGAAAACATAATTAAAACCTTACCAACAAAGAAAAGCTCAGGTCTTGATGGATTCAGTGCTGAATTCTACAAGAAATTTAGAGCTGATTTAATGCCAATGCTGCTCAAACTCTGTAATGAACTTGAAAGGGAAGCAATGCTGTCTATCTCAGTCCTGGAGACAAGTATTACCCTGATACCAAAACCAGAGAAAGACCCAACCAAAAAAGAGAACTACAGGCCAATCTCCCTAATGAACATAGATGCTAAAATACTCAATAAAATACTAGCAAACAGAATGGCTCAAATCATCAAGAAGATTATACACCATGACCAAGTGGGATTTATCCCAGGAATGCAGGGAAGGTTCATCGAGCACAAAGCAACACATGTAATACACCGTATCAACAGAGCCAAAGACAAAAATCACATGATCATCTCAATAGATGCAGAAAAAGCTTTTGATAAAATCCAAAAGTCTTTCTTAATAAAAATCCTACAGAAAATTGGATTAGATTGTCTTTACCTCAATCTGATAAAAGCCAGGTATGACAAACCAATAGCCAGCAACATACTAGCTGACCCAAAACTGAAAGCTTTCACTCTAAAATCAGGAACAAGACAAGGATATCCACTATCAACAGTCCTATTCAATATAGTTCTGCAAACATTAGCCAGAGCAATTAGACAAGTGAGAGAAATAAAAGGAATAAAGGTAGCAAAGGAAGAAGTTAAATTATTTGCAAATGATAGATACTATACATAGAAGACAATTTTTATAGTTATAGGGTATAGTCAGACTTTAAAAAGTTAGTTAATTTACAACAGACACGTATTCATTAAAAGTTGAAAAGACTTATGTTGATATTTTATTCACTAACTAGAATATATCAGATATGAAATGTTTCTTTTTTATTCTGATGGGCATTGCACTAACTGAATCATGTATTTATAATCATAGTACTGACAGTATAGATATTTTATCTCAAAAAGCATGGATGCTGGCACTTAAATATCATAATATTATAAATATTACAAAACCTGAACTTTTTTACATTATTTATTCTAGTCATTTAATATTTTATGTATTTAAGGCTCTGTTCATATTTTATATTCCTATTTTGAGTTGACATGGATGACAGTATATTCTTTGACATATTAAAAGTGCACAGGGAGTGAGTAAAAGTGAATTTAATGTTTTTTAACTTACTTGACAAACTTTTAAAGCTTTTTCATATTACCAGAATTTTTACAAAAATAGTTTCCTCAGTTTAGTCAAAGAGTTGTAATCTTTAGCTTGTAAATTTTTAGCTTCCTAGGTATTTTATCTTATTTTCCTTGGCTCCAGATTCCTAACATCTTTTTCTTTCATCTGATACCAGGCTCAGTCTCAGGGAGCAATTACGTTTAAGATTATTCCCAGCATCAAGGAGGAGACTCCATCTAAAGAAGGCAAGGTAATAATTTCTTAAAAATATCTTTTGTGTGTGGGGAGTACGATTTTTTTCATCTAACACATAGACACACATTCTAGTTTTTAAAGTAATTATTTCTTCAATCTAAGTTGCAAGAATGTAGACCATTTCACATTTATTTTTTACATTCATTCTTCAATGAACCTTTCTTCCAGATGTTTCTCAGAGCCCTTTTTGACTACGATCCTAACGAGGACAAGGCGATTCCATGTAAGGAAGCTGGGCTTTCTTTCAAAAGGGGAGATATTCTCCAGATCATGAGCCAGGATGATGCAACCTGGTGGCAGGCGAAGCACGAAGGGGACGCCAACCCCAGAGCAGGCTTGATTCCCTCAAAGCACTTCCAGGAAAGGTGAGTGGTTGGCACAGAGCACTGGCCTGTCTTCAGCTGACCTTTTGTTCTCTGCAAAATACCATTCCGGTATGGTTGTGATAAAATAAGCCCTAAAAGCCTGCCTTAGAATTCATTATCCCGTGGGTTTGGGTTTCTGTTTTGTCTAACTAGGTATGAATAATGACCAAAAATAATATGACAGTACCAGGTCATCTTGGGTTTTTGTTATGAAGCAAATGGAAAACAGCACATTAATATTAGAATCTGTATTGGGGTGAAAGAGAGAAAAAGAGCAGTAATTTGAGGGGGCACATAGAATTTCCAAAAATTTCAAAAGAAAATTTATCTCTTAATTTGAGCAGATTTATTATTCTCATCTCTCAACCCCCAGCTTTCAAGATTTTTAAAAAATTTTTAATATTTTACTGCTGCATTAACCTTAAACCAGTACTGAAAATTGATAGGCTTATTGACCTTTTATTCCCCCAGGAGACTGGCCCTGAAACGACCAGAAATACTGGTTCAGCCCCTGAAAATTTCCAACAGGAAATCATGTAAGTTTGTTAATAAGAATGCAGAGTAACCAAATCCTGCTGTTTATTTTTGACTATTAAAGCAGGTGCTCGTGGAAGAAGGGATTGTATTCTCTTGCTTCTGGGTCCTCATTTCTCAAGAATGAAACACGTAAGAAATCTGCAGTAGGAATATTAATGTAACTCTTTGGAAGAAAAGGATGACTGGGGAGATGTTTATAATAAACCCATGACTCATTCTTTAAAAAAGTAACAAAAAACTATCTCTCTCTTGATTTCCAAGTTTAGGCACTTTGTAAATATAACCAAAAAAAATGCTACTCTTTTCTTTCTCCAAAGCCAAGAGGTTTTGTTTGGGTAAGGCATGTCTTGGTGAAGATTAGGGGAACACAATCCACCACTTTCTTAGACACAAAAGCATTTGTGCCTAAGAACAGTTGTGCTGCTTTATTCCTTTCTTTTCCACAGATCATAGTAACTCTGGTGTTTATTCCATCTGTTTGGAGTTATCACCAGATTAAATTGAAAGAAAATGAGAGTAAGAAAACGGAAATACTGAAAAACAGCATGGATTTAGGTGCATTATTTTTTCTTTCCCCTTACTCTTCTTTCTACTTTCCTTTCTTCCTACCTCTCGCCTTCTCCAGTCTCCACCTCATCAATTTCTACTTCGTCTCCCCAAATGTTTCATGGTTCTAGCTACTTTAAGAATTTTTTAAAAGCCCCTACTTTGTGTTAAGCAGAGATTTTGTGCATTAAAAAACAGAATGAACAAATAAATGGCCCTGGAATTTTACACCAACATCTGTTTTTAGTATTGTTGCATTTTTCACAACTCCTGTTATTTCTGTCAGTTGGTAGAAGCTTATAGCCTAGGAATCACATAGTTAAGAGAGCCAAACTGCAGTTAAGTATAAATCTCTCAGCAAGCCAGTACTTAATGTGGAGCACTGATTCAAAAGCCTGCTTGTTCTTGCTTCATTAAGTCTACGCAGAAGGGAAAAACACTTGTCATATGCATGTGGTGCTCTAAGGCATCGGAAAGCTTAACGGTTAGTGTTGTGTTGTTTTAAGTATGGCGGCTTTTCACTGGTAAATCTCTAGCTGAAAGAAACCTTTAGACATCCCTCCACCTGCCTTGGTCTTGGAGGGAGCCTCAGGCTGGGCTTCTGCTGTTCTAATACCAAATGTGCTGCATATGCCATAAACTATGTCTCTGAAAATGGAGTAAATGTGACTATCCTCAAATCTGAATCTGTACTCATATTTCCTGAGTCGTAGACAACTTAGAAATTGATAATTTGATGTAATCATGAATTTTTATTTAATATTTTTAATAAATGCATATATTTCGTAGAAGAGTTATGTAAAAGTGATAGCTTATCTTTTTAAATAGTGCTCCCAATCTGTATTTGGTATTGATGTTTGTGAACTTTAATATGAGGATATATGTGTGTGTATGTGTGTGTGTGTGCGTGCATTAAAGTTGCAATAAAGGTATTTTGTGTGTTGATTTGCATAATTTCCTTTTTTTGCGGGGTACTGGGAATCCAACTCAAGACCTTGCATTTGTCAGGCAGGCATTGTGCCTCACATCCCTGGCCTTCATAATTTTCTTTTTGTGTTACTACTTCGGTATTTGGATCTAAGAAATATTTATTTCAGGGTTTATCTTTACTGAAATGTCTTCATTTTAAGTATTTTTTTCCTGTTGAACACCATTCAGAAATGTTTACTGATATTCCTTCTTTTCTTTTTTTCTCTTGCTCCTTTTAAAAACTAGATTTCAATTTACTGAAAGATGTACTAATTTTTTTCATACACAGATGTTATATATTTTCAAAGAAGACTGGCCAGGATTATCCAAATAAATCTTCAGTACATAGAAACCTTGTCCTAGTTCTGAAAGACAATGTATGTATGAAATTTATAGAAAGCTAATGTCTTTACTCTCCAAGAATTCAAATTCCTTTGATTGTCACAGAAACTTAAAAGCTGTTCAGAAATCATTGTATTAGTTCTGAACATTTTTAATGGCATTTAAAGCACTTTAACATATGAATTTAACAGTGATTCTTTACCTGTAGTTGTATCTTATAAAGGCCATCTTATTCAACTATGTCTTACATTTGAACATTGGTACTTAGATTTTTGGAATAGGAAATTCATGTTACATGATACCTAAGATTGGTTTTAAAAAAAGTTCTTGATTTAATGTTAAATTTCAGAAAGGATAATCTTTCATCTTGGATTTATAATTTTATGAAGAAATGCAATAATGAAAAATTTCTTCACTAAATTTTACAAGTTTCCTTACAAGTTTGGGAGGATATTGTAAGCACTGGATTCAGCAGAATAATGAGTTAGCCTATTAAATTTTGCCAGTACATGCTTGCTTATATTACTATGATTTTACTCAGTATTTGATTCATAAGTGTATCATCATAATTGAAGTTTTCAAAAAAAAAAGTTCATGGAAGATGAATCTGGAAATACAGAAGTTCAGTTAATATCAATATGGAAGGCAAAAAGACATTCCAGGTCCATCACTTTGCATTATATTTGTATTAGAACTCTGATTCCTGGTTCCCAAGTAAATAAAATCAGGAGACATGATAATAACAACCTCGGGGGCTGGGGATTTAGCTCAGCGGCACAGCACTTGCTTGGCAAGCATGAGGTCGTGAGTTCGATTCCCGGTACTGGAAAAAAAAAAAAAGATAATAACAACTTCTTCACGCTTTCAAAAAGCTTACACAAAACTCTTTAAGTGTAAATTTGGTACTCATCTTTGATGCTTGATTATTTTCGCCTCCGAAGACTCTTGGTATACCTAATTACGGAGCCAGAAAGGCTGCTCAAAGAAAGTCATTTGTTTCTGAAAAGCAAACATTCCTAAAAACTAAAACATGAGCTCTTAAAGTGAAAATATTCTTAAATCTTGAAAGTTTGATAGGGGAGTGATTCCTTCTCTCTCGTCCTTTTATTAACAAAAAAAATTTTAATAAAAACATAGGAATTTATCATCTTTTCCTCCATCACTGAATTGTAGGTTGCCACATATGGATTTGTATCAGTCACACAGACGAACAGACCCTGTAGCAAATCTTATGCTGTGCTCAGGTAGCACATGAGAGTATTTTTTCATGATGGAAACCTGGCAACTTGCTTTTCTTGAAGTACTGTAATTTACTTTTATAGTTTGTATGTGTAAAGCATATGATACCACCTAACCTTTAAGAAAGAAATATGAATTTATTTGAAATAGCTTGTTCCTTTTCTATATTAACCTATGTATATGAGTTAAGAATTGTCTTCCTGGGCTGGGGATTTAGCTCAGTGGTGCAAGTGCCTGCCTGTCAAGCATGAGGTCCCGAGTTCAATTCCCAGTGCCCCTCCCCCCAAAATAAAAAAAAAATTTAAAAATTGAAAAAGAGAATTGGCTTCCTGTTTAACTTTAATAGGATGTAATTTACCTTTGAATCCGCTATGGTCTTCATAAAGACTGTAGAAAAAGCTTTTGTTCATATACTGTATTTTGCTACAAAATATTCAAATATGATTTTTATTTTCCATGATTAATTTCCTTATTTGTTAAATATCTGAACATTTTACTATAGCAGGTTGCATAATCTTCATTTGAAATTTTTCTTTTCCAAAATGGCTTTTGTGAAATTCTTGTCAAAAAAGAAAAAAGAATTCACAGCTTTTGACCTTTTAAAACATAAAACATAAAAACCCGAAGTATTTTGCTTTACAATTTGTTTTAACCAAATGTGATTGCTATCATTCAGATAAAGATGCAGAAAGGGTGCTCATTCAAGCAAGGTATAACCTGGGTCATTCAAAGACAGCATTGCGGATTGAAGATCACAATCTTCAACAAAATAAATACCCAGTAAAAGTATGAATTCACTGTACATGGCACCTGTGTTTTTGAAGGTCACCCATTTAAAAACAATGCATGACAGGACTCCACAGGTTGTTGTAATAAAGCTTTTCAAGCTGAGTACATTCCTCTCCTGGAACCTTCAGTAATGTTTATGTAGTGTGTTCATACATAGACTTAATTGAAAAATGAACAGATTGCTTTATGTTGTTAAAATTGGTTTTGTATATCTGAAACTTTTTTTTTTCCCCCCTCTGGTACCAGGAACTGAACTCACAACCTTGCGCTTGCCAGGCAGGCGCTTTGCCGCTGAGCTAAATCCCCAGCCCTGTATATCTAAAACTTGATCAAACATTTTCATAATATTGGTGGGGAGTTTTTGTGCAAGCAGACATAATGTTTAGATTCCATCTTCATCCCTTTTTTCATCGCCTGCCCCTGCCCTTCCTCCCCACTTCCCCCATCTCATGATCTGCTTTCCATCTGCAAAAGACCTATCTTCCTACTTCCTCTTCTCTACCTTTTCTTTTGCTCCTTATATTTTAGAATTCTCATATAAGAGAAACCATGTGATACTTAAGCTTGCGTGTCTGATTTATTTCACTTAACAAGGTGCATCCATCTTGCCACAAATGTCTCAAGTTTGTCCTTCTTTATGGCATATAGCACTTCACTGTGTGTAAATACTACATTGTCTTTATTCATTCATCTAGTGATGGACATATATGCTGCTATAAACGTGGGATTGTGCTGCTATAAACATGAGTTTGCTTGTATTACTGTAATAAGATGTCTTTTAACTCTTTTGAGAAGATAACTAGAATGTTAAAAAATACTTAAAGGCATTTTTCCCTGTATGTTATTTTTTCCTTTACCTTAACAAATACCTGAGATAATCAATTTATCAAAAGAAAAAGTGTATTATGGCTCATAATTTTAGAGGCTCCAGTCATGATCAGTTGGTCTTGTTGCTTTATTTGACTAGTAACAGGGCCGCACATCATGGCTGGGAACATGCTGAGGAGCAAAACCCTCATATTGCTGGGACATAAAAAAGAGAAAGAGGAAGGTGTCAGGTTCCACCATTTCCTTCCGATCCCCATGACCAGAAGACTTCCTGCCAGGCCCGCCT